CAGTGGCGAATGGATAAGCGCACTGTGGCAGATTCATACAGTGGAACAGTACTCGGCCCTAAAAGGAAGGAAGGACTGACTCAAGCTACAGCGTGGAGGAGCCCTGAAAACAATATGCTGAGTGAAAGAAGCCAGACATCACAGGCCAAATCCTGTGTGATCCCACTTATATGAAATGTCCAGGAAACGCAAAGCTCCAGAGGCAGAGAGTAGATTAATGGTTGCCAGGGGCTGGGGATGGGGAAGTTTAGAAGGGTGGTAGTTAAAGGGTTCGGGGTTTCTTTTTAGGGTGATGACAGTGTTCTAAAATTCACTGTGGTGATCATTGCACATATCTGTGAGTATACTAAAAACCATCGAATCGCATACTTTATTATTATTTTTTAAATATATCTTTATTGACGTCAGAGAGAGGAAGAGAGAGGGAGAGGGAGAGAGAGAGAGAGAAACATCAATGATGAGAGAGTCATTGATCGGCTGCCTCCTGCAGGCCCCCACCTGGGGATCGAACCCGCAACCCGGACATGTGCCCTGACCGGGAATCAAACCACGAACTCCTGGGTCCTAGGTTGATGCTCAACCCGGCCGGGCTGAATGGCATACTTTAAATGGGTAAGTTGTATGGTATGTGAATTATATTTCAATAGAGCTATTATAAAAGATTTTTTTTAAAAGCATGGTCTCTGGAATCAAGAGGATGTGGGTGTGGCTCTATCACATGTCTAAGCTGTGTGGCCCTGGGCAGGTGACTCTGCTTTTCTGAGCCTCACTTCTTTTCTTTTGTTTGTTTGTGTGTATTTTTTGTTAACCCTCCCCGAGGATATTTTTCCATTGATTTTAGATAGAGTGGAAAGTGGGGAGGAAGGGAGAGAAAGAGAGAAACATCGATGGAGAGAGACACATGGATTGGTTGCCTCCCACACAGGCCCTGACTGGGGCGGGGGATTAAGCCTGCAACCCAGTGATGTGCCCTTGACCAGCAATCGAACCCAGTGCCTGGGCCAACACTCTAACCACTGAGCCACACCAGCCAGGGCTCCGAGCCTCACTTCTTCATCTATAAAATGGAGCTAGCAACGGCCCCTACCTCACGTGGTTGGGAGGGTTAAGCACTATGGTGCTCATGAGCACTGAGCTGTGCTGCGACAGTCACTGCTCAGTAAATTGTCCCATGTGGCCCCCACACTTCCGCAACCAAGACTCCCTAACATCCCCTCTGGAGCACTCTCGTTTACCCCATGTAACATCTTTCTTCCCAGTCGTCTTGTGAGGTTGGCATTGGTGCCCCCATTTCATTGTCTCCATTTTACAGATGAGAACCACTGAGTCCAGAAGACAGCAGGCATCCCGGCACGGCTCCCCCACACTCCCAGGCAGTGTTCTGCCTCTGCTCTCGTCTCTCTTTCTCTTCCATGGGTACCCCCTTAGCCCGGCTGGTGGCCTCACAGCTCCAGAACTTGGTTTAGGCCAAGAACTGGTGTCCAGGTCCCTGGGGGCCTGGAGTGGGTCTCTAAGTTGTGGATGCAGCCAAAACCACCATGTGGGACTGGGTCCCGAGCCTCTCAGCCCCTCATGTACCAGCATCTCATCCCCTCCTCCCCACAGCCCTCAGAGGGGTGGTCTCCTCCAGCCCCTTTTGCAGATAGACAAACTGAGGTTGTGCACAATGATAGCCCTTTGCCCAAGGTACCTCCTGGTGGTCCAGTCAGGATTTGAGCCCAGGACCATCTGAGTTAGATGGCACCTTTCAGCCCCTATGGCAGCCATGTACCTCAGTCCCCTCACCTCTGACTCAGAAGCCCTGCTGGCACCCACCAGGATGAGATCAGGAGTGTGGGGTGATGGGGTGAGAAATCCCACTTGGCCACATTGCTCTCTCTCCAGTGAGTACCACAGGCAGGCTCAAGTCATGATGAGAATAAAAGCAGAGGAGACAACTGGGAAAAGAGGGCAGGGGAGGTACCAGGGCTAGCATTATGCATTTATGCAGCACCTGCTGTGTGCCAGGCACTGTGTAGGGCTCTATCCTCAAGTATTCCTTCCAGCTACAGGAGAGGAAGCACGTCCAGAGAGGTGAGGGACCTGCCTAAGGTCACACAGTCAGGAGGGCGAGGGGTCTGATAGTCTTCCTCTGGGATCCCTGAAATCACATCTCCCCACATTTACCGAGAAGCCATGGAGACGAGATACAAAGAGGCTGCAGACAATCAGCTGGTTTGTATATCTCGGTCCTGCAAATAGCTGACCTGGGCCCAGAGATTGGAGGCCCCGTCTTGCCAGGGGCCTTCAATGAGGCTCTTCTGGAATTCTCCCTGGGGCAGAAACCTGAGGCCAGGTAGAGAGGAAACCCATCCCCTCAGATGACTGTTGCCATGGGCACAGCCACTCTCAGCTGCTCAGCCACGGGCTGTGATTCCAGTCTCTGGGCAGCAGGCCTGGTGGCCTGTGGGTGTGGCCGGGCCACAGCCGGCCATGGGCATTTCAAAGACAGCCTTCATCTGAAGTTGTGGCGTAGAGAGAAAGGGGGGCATCTAGGCTTTGGTGCCAGCAGGGTCCCAGTAATTCAGGGCTTCCTGGGTGGGCTACTGGAGGCCCACGGAGGCCCCTAGAATGGTGAGTGAAAATGTAAGAGGGTCAGGATGGAGACAGCCCCTTTTCTGAGTCCAGGATCCTAGCTAACACCTTTTTAAAAAATATATCTTTATTGACTTCAGAGAGAGGAAGGGAGAGGGAGAGAGATAGAAACATCAATGACAAGAGAGTCATTGATCAGCTGCCTCCTGCACGCCCCCCACTGGGGATTGAGCCCCCAACCCGAGCATGTGCCCTGACCAGGAATACGAACCGTGACCTCCTGGATCCTAGGTTGACGCTCAACCACTGAGCCACGCGAGTCAGGCAGCTAACAGCTTTTTAAACTGTGAATTGGCTTTGTGGTCCTCTATTCATAGAGGCTATGACTTCCCCTGCTCTTAGAACAAAAACCTAACTCACACTGGCCTCAGCATCTCTAGGTTTCTCCCTCGCTGCCCCCCCGCCCCATCTCCAGGCTCTATCCACTTGGCCCTCTCTGTCCTTAGAGCTGCTGCTTTCTCTCCTGCCTCACTCAGGGCCTTGGCATTAGCTATGGTTTAACCACATTTGGGGCCGGGTTGCTGCTTCAGAAGTCCCTGGCAGGCCGTAGCATCATAATAAATAAAAATATTCATAAAAGCCATTTCTCGAACATCCATGTGTCAGGCCCTGTCCGGTTTTACAGGTGTGGAAACGGGCTCAGAGTGGTGACTTGACCTGCCCTGGGTCACTCGGCTGCAAAGTCATAGAACCTGCACTTGAACCTAAAAATTGTTCAGCTGTGCCGGTGATGCTAGTTGCTGGTGGTAGTAATAGTAACGGTAATTAAATAGTAGCCTTAATTAACAGTAATAGTGAAACAGGACACACCTTTGACCTGCACACAGACGCTGGCCTGAAGTCAGAACTCCAGAGCACCCATTGGAGAGGCTTCAAATCTCCCCAGCAGGGCTCAGATGGGCTCCTCATTTAGCCTTTGGAAAACCACCCCGGACACTTTAGGGTGGGTAACGCCCCTGCCCCCCCATCGCCCCAGAGCAAGCACATTTTAGGGCGGGCAGGAGGTGGGGGTGCTGGGAGGAGCGGCCGCGGCCGAGCAATGCCGACAGCGCCACCTACCGGGCTCTGCGGGAGCTGCAGGCGGTCCGCGTGCAGGCTGGGGGGGGAGGGGAGGGTGCCGAGGGGTTCGAAGCCCGAAGCCGGGCGGAGTGAACCAGGGGAACCCATCAACCAGCCCACAAACCCAAGGATCTGCTCCTCCTCTATTCTCCCGTCCCCCAGCCCCTGAAAATGATGATTATTGGGCCGACACTGACCGATTACGCCCAGCGCCTGGCCTAGGCAGTTTCACTGACTCTGGATGAGCTGGAAAGATCAGGATCCCCCTGCACAGAGGAGGGAACAGGGTCAGAGGTGAGATGATGTGTCCAAGGCCACTCAGCTACTGAGCGGCAGAGCCTCCAGACTCGATCGCATCACCATGCACCCCACATCACGCGAATATATCCGTGCAGTTATTTAACACTGAGATCGTGTCCTATGCTGCAGACATTCCTAATTGCTTTACAAATAGTAACATTTAAGGCTCATAACCTTTATGGTGGGCATCAGCAAGACCCCCGTGTCACAAAAAAGGAAACTGAGCCTTTTTTACAGTGACTGGGGCTTCAGTCCCTTGTCTATGGTAGAGATGATTGCAACGTTTTTCAACAGTTGCTCACTGAGGTTTAACTGAATGAGTCAACGAGTCAATAAATGAGTCAGCCCTTGTCAAGGTGGAGGGCTCTTTCGGTTTCTGGGCACGATCTGATTCACCTGGGTCAGTGAGACTGTCCTGGCAGGAAGGAGGGCTGGAGGGCGGCTCAGCCTGTCCTCTGGCACAGAAGTGGACATGGCTGAGGGAGGGATGCAGTCAGTCCCTCAGTCCTGGCTGGGTCGCCCTGGCTGAGTCCTCTTGCCCTACCCCTGGGGGGTTCAGTTTCTTCTTCTTCTCTTTTTAATATGTTTTATTGATTTCAGAGAGAGGAAGGGAGAGGGAAAGAGAGAAACCTCAATGAAGTCAAATGAATATGCTCTCTACATTTAACCCTAGTATCACAAAAAGCTTCAGCCCATAATAACAATGGATCACAGGATTGGGGATGCAACAGGGATTGGTGGGGACTGAGGCAAAGTGGAGAATACATCCGCCCACTTACCCTGTCCAGACAGGGTGGCAGTCATCTCTCAGGTCGTGCCAGGCAGTCTGATTTTTCCGAAGAAGCTAGAAACCAAGACTTTCGTGTTAAATGTCCCCAATTTCGCAATGTGGCAACCACTTCTATTTTTTTAAACCACGAACCCTAGGAGACAGGTCTTTGGCTGGTCCCCAGCGGTAACTGCTAATCCAGGAAGAGAGAGACAAGAACTAAAACGGCACACAGATGTGATTCCAAAATAGAGATTTATTTATTAAGAATTATTTAGCGTCTGCATAAAAATCACCAATTGTTCCTCATTGAGTTTTTAACACGCATCAATTCTTTGGGGGGGTCCTCTATTTACTCCAACACTTTCAAAAATACAGCTCTTGTTAGAGCCAGGAAAGACAGTTAAGGCAGCAAGGTGTGTCCTTGGGTCTCAGTATTTGGAGGGCTCAGTGTCCCCCCTGAGAGAATATACATGTAGGTAGTTTCTTAGGTTGGAAAGGCTGTCCCTGAAGAAAATAATTATGCAGAAGAATCATGCAAATTCACGTCAATTATTTGTACCTGATAGCTTTAAAATAAAATCTCCTTGGTCACGGTCATCAAAGGCTTGCTGGTTGTTTTCAACTATAAAAAATTATCTGGAAGAAGACAGTAGGAAAGAGCAGAGTCTATAATGACAGTGCTGAGAGGCTGGGCTGGGCAACCACATGAGAACATTCACGGGGTTGCTTTAAAAAAACAAACAAGAAACAAACCCACAATAGGGGTTCTGCATAATTTCAAATCAAACTCCTCATGGTCCTTAAACTACCTGAAATATCACTGCACCAGATCCTCATTTTTAAAGTGAGGTGTATGACAGGGCTCCCCCAGAGTCATGCACTACAGGGGGTTGGGAGGGAGAAACCAAAAAACCCTAGGACTCGATGTATTAGCAACATTAATGGATTTTTACACACGGAAATGAAGGTATAGTCAGTTTGTGCTGCTGTGAAATTCAAGGGTGATTCAGAAGTAGGATGGTTATTTATTGCTCCATTATGACAGATCCCAAAAATGACTTCAGAAACCAGGGCCGTCCCCTGCAGACCTCAGCCAGGCTCCGGGCGGCTCTGGGGGAAGCAGGCCAAGGGCGGCCTGCCAGCTGGATTCACAGTGATTCTGGTTTGTTTCTGCGCGTGGCCGCGCGGGGCGGCGGGCGGCCCGGTGTGCCCGCCGCTGGGTGCGCCTACACCTTGTAGTTGAGATCGGCGTTCATCTTGGTGTACATCTCATAGATGACATCGATGGTGGCCGTGTAGTTGACCAGGAAGAGGCGGACCTTCTCCAGGCACTCCTCCTCGGTCACGTTCTGGCCCTTGGAGAGCGCTTTCAGGAAATCGGACTTATAGGGTGCCGCGTACAGCGCTGCCTTGAGACGGCGAGAGGAGAGGTGGCGGTGTTAGAGGGGACCCACCCGCCAGGCCAGGCACGGTGGGGTTCTGGGAGGGGACTTCCCTGAGGTGCGGGCTGGGCAGGGGTCTGCACTATTTGAGGTGTTGGAAGGGAAAGGGAAAGGCAAAGGGAGATGTGTATTGTCGTCTACCCCCATGAGGGACAGCAGGAAATACTCCAGCTTTGGGGACAGACAGGCCTGGGTTCAGATTCCAGCTTGTGCCGCAGACTAGCTGTGAGCCTTGAGCAAGTTACTTGGCCTCTCTGAGCCTCAGTTTCCTCATCTGTAAAATGGGGATGATCATGGCACCCATCTAATCGGGTGGCTGTTGCGGGGATTAAGAAGGTTGTGCAAAGTGCTCAGCATCACGCCAGCACACAGTAGGTGCTCAGCACAGTGCCGGGCACACAGTAGGTGCTTGGCATGGATAAGCCTCTTTCCTCTGGGTTAGCCTGCTCTAAAGGTGAACTACTTCTTTGGAAAACCCACTTTCTGAGTTGGAGAGAGGACCGCTAATCTGTGACCTCTTTTGTCCTATAGGAGGCGACACTCGCCTAAATTTCAGGGCCTCCCTGACAACTGGAAAAGTCCAGAGAATCAGAAATTTACAGAATTTCAGAGCCAGAGGGAAAAGATGCAGCCAGGTAGAAAGGCTGCGAGTTTGATGGGGTGAGGAAATTACAAATAATAATATTGTAATTATGAGAAGGAATGGTAGTAGTTTCGATATACTGAGTGTAAACCAAGCACTTGACACAGATGAACATGTTTCATTTTCGCAATGACCCTCTGAGGCAGGGCCTACTTTACACCCATCTGAAAGATGAGGACACTGAGGCCCGGGGTCATAGAATCTCAGCTCCCATCTTCTTCCTGTGACCTTGAGCAAGATACTTAGCCTCTCTGAGCATCAGTTTCTTCATCTGTGAAATGGGGGTAAGGATGGTTCCCACCTCATGGTGCACTGGTGAAGATTGTAAACCATGGGCGGCCCGCCCTAGGCCAGCCACACAGGACATGCCGTTATTACTGAGGTGGTGGTTGGGGGGTCCTTGGGGACAGGGAGAGGCTCCCACTGGGATGGGCCCTGTCCCCAGCCCTGCCAGGGTGGGTGGCCCAGAGGTGTCCATATTTCCCACCTGGTGACTGGCTCTTCCTGCCCATGTGAGCCAACCCCCTCCCAGACAGGGGAGCCCTTCCTGAGCCCAGGGGTGCAAACGCAGGCTTCAGGGGCCACAGCTAAGGAGTGGCAGAGCGGGGGATGGACCCCACAAGCTGGTGAGCCCCTGGGGCCTGGGGACAGAGCGGCTCCCCGGGCTCACCTGGAAGATCTTCTGCACAATCCAGCCATGGTACTTCTTGAGGGCCATCTCGTAGGCCTTGGTGGCATTGACGCGGATGTGGTTGGGGTGGTTCTCGTCTCGCTCGCCGTCGCAGATGCTCTGGAGGAAGACCTGGATGAAGCGGAGGCCTCTGCACCCCGGAAAGGAGACAGAAGGCTCTTTAGGACGCTGCCCACTCCTGCCTGTGGACAGCCAGCACCCCCTGCGCACGGCAGGCCCCAGCTACTCTGAATTAGGCACCTACTGTGAGACGGGAAATGTGTACACACAAAAGGGGGTGGCTATTTACTCCCCCAACTCTTTTACACCTGGCTTCCATGTACTGTGACCACTGGCTCAAAACAGCATCTCCCAGGCACCTTGTCTACATTAGGCCTGGGAAGCCCCAGAACATACAACGCCAAGGGTCTGGGTCTGGCTTGTCCGTTTCCTCGCGGAGCTGCAGACACACCGGGCCTCTCCTGCCCTCCCACCTCTGCAAGGCCTCCTCTACCTGGGACTCTCCTGCTCAGTCTTAGAGACTCTGATGGGGCAACCTCCTCCAGGAAGCCCTCCCTGACCTCACTCCTCCAGCTCTGATATCCTGCTGTCAGGATCCACCCACCAGCCTGACACCCTGCCCAGACCACGGTACCCCTAAGAGGGTCTGTGCCTCATTTACTGTGGCATCCTACTCACCCCACACCACGGACAGCACACAGCAGGTGCTCATTAAGTGCTCCACTTGTTGGCATCCACCTGCACTGCCCTCCCCTCCCAGCAGCCTGACTCGGCCCACACGTGATGTGGCCCCGAACAATCTAACTGATTGAACGCCACCATCTGCTTGGCTCCTCCTGAGAAACCCACAGATCCTGGGATGGATGGACCCGAGGGCATTCCTCATTCCAGGATCATGACTCTCTCCCTGACAAAGGTGAGTAACTGGGTGGGGCAATTCCTAAAACGGGACATGAGGATGTTAATTGCAGGCTGCCTACCCCAAAGTCCACGTGGCCACACCCTCCAGGGAGCAGACTCTCCCTGCTCCATTTTACCAAAGTGCATGTTTAGGGGATAGAGGGAGTTAGCTTGTGGGGGGTGGAGGCAGACACAAGGAAGAGCACCCCCCCCCCCCC